ACAAATGGGTAAGTGGGATTGCATAATGTGTGAAGAAAAGAGAAAGAGCAAATAAATCATAACAACAGGCTGACCTCATGTAGTCAGCAAAGTAACCTATTTTCAAGAAATCCTCTCCTCCATTTCCACCTAGCTACAAATGCCTTTTAGGTTTTAGCTGAAGCTTGCCAAATGTCCAACAAAACACATTACATATCATAAAGGTGTCATTGAACAATCTAGAAACACAAGAAAGGGGAAGTCACCATGGCTGTAGTGATACAAAGACAAGAGAGAAACAACTACATCATTGCTGCTGAAGGTATGATACAAGCATGTTTAAAACTCTGCTGGACACAACCATGAGGATGTGACAGGGGAAGAAACAGATCTAATTTTGCCCTGTGTACAGCTCAGAAATTGGATTTGTACAGCTCATTCTACATACATTGCCCTGTGTACAGATCCAATTTCACCTTGTGTACAGCTCAGAAATTGGATCTGTACACCTTTGAGGAAGGGCCAGCAACCAGTCATTCTACTGCATATTTTCTGGGCACATTATCCTTTGTACAGCTCAATCTAGGCACATTGCCTGGTGTACAGCTCAGAAAACTCCTCCTTGTTATGTTGCTGGGTTGATCACCTTCAGTTTTGGTTTGTTTGATTTTCCTGATGTTAAGCTTTGTTCTGCAGTATGACACCAAGCACCTTCATTATAGCCTGCAGAGAATTGGCCATCATGGACTGTTTAATGTGTTACATTGTTGAAGGCCTGGGATTTGGGATGATAAGTTTGCATTAAATAACATCAACATGATGATTGAACAACAGTTTTAGGTGCATAGCCAAAAACCTAATTTATGTGAACACTGCCAATACCTGAAACATATGATCCCAGTGACTATACATACGACTTGCCATCAGGTTCAATCACAAATGAATCTTACAGCAATCTCAATAGAGCAGATCTTGTGTTTTCAATTGGTCTATCCTAAACTAAGCAGGCATCAGGAGGCATCAACTGGCCCATCAAGCATGGCATTGAAGGGCATCAAGCAGGGCATCGAGGGCAATGAGGAGCTTGGCTTGGCTTGATCACCAACAGTCACAGGATGGTCACAGCCTACAGGATCATGCTGCTGGACAGATATGGTCATGACAGCCTGTGCACAGGACCATTTGCTGAAGAGTGCACACAAATTGATCCCCTGTAGTTACAGGAAATTGTGTACAGGATGGATAGCATAGGTTGCTGAGGGTTCTAAATTTCTGTTATCATTAACTTTAGAATATGCTCTCTCTCCTCCTGCTAAGACTTTCTTGATATACCTTGTTGTTCAGGATTTAGTAAATGGACATTATAATGTCACATATAACATTTTTGAGCTTACAAGGCATTCCAAGGTTATAAAAGGGGTCAAAATAAAAGACTCTGGCATTATAACCTAAAAAGGTTGTTGCAAGGGGGTCTGGAAATTGCAGCCCAGTACATGCTGGTGGTAGGTAGGTTCCCTCAAATATGTGCTTAAAATATTTTTACAACATATTATTTTTGGTTTTTATTGACCATATATTTACATAAATTAGACAAGATATGATGAATTTCATCCAGAACAATTCATTCCTAGTATATTCTCATGTGGGAAACCTATAAATCTATGTTCTGACAATGTCCATTCCCAAGAAGACAAGATGACCATACAGAAGGAAGATACCTGCAAAGAGACAATATCTATGATCAAAGTCAGTCATACAGTTGCACCAGAAAAGAGAGCCACATACATGGGTGTTGCATCTTTAGATGGCCTGGTCTCCCAGCCAAATCTTGCCAGCCCATCCCAAATATCACCAGCCATCCCTCCTGATCTGACACTCACTACCACATCCACAGACAATACCCTCCCTACTCAAACTCTTTGATACATATATATGAACTGAGAAGCATTAAGTTTTATTGAGAATGTGCCAATCTGGAGTACATACCAAAGTGCTGCTAATGTGAATTGTATTCAGCATCAAGCAGTAGGCCAGCAAAGAAGCAGAGGAACAGTGTTTGATGTGGGGTGAACGGTTGGTGAGGTGGGGAACGGACAGGAACGAAAAATTACCATATATATACATATTATGTCATAATGGCATCATAGAGGTAGGTAGGTTCCCCTCCGGGCTGTGTTAAAAAATATTTTGACCCTGGTATTAAAATATATTTTTCGGACTGCCTTGGGCTGTTGGAATTACTGAGTATATGCTCTGTAGCTTCCCTGGCTACTGGGTTACAAACTCACAAGGAGTCTGCCTGTTATTCACTTGTATATATATTAGCTACTACCTAATCTAGTATCTTCTCCATCTTTCGTGCTATTTCCACCCTTACTAATCATGCCGAGTGATGCCGGCTTGCCCGGATCTCAACAAAGGCTCTGATACGAGTTTCAAGGTTTTCCTTGGCATCCTGGATGATGGCTCCAGATGCAGAGATCCTTATCCATTAGTCATAAACTTATACTCCTACCATCAGGACGTTGACATGGCGTACGACTATGAAATGGTTCATTTGGCGGAGAGAGAAGATCTTCGCCAAGGTGATAATATGTCCTCCAGTTCTACCCTCTTGAAACATCCGAGGAGGAATCGAATTTCCAAAAGACATTTCGTCGTTCACGTCCTGCACTCCGTTTTGTTGGTCATTTGCTTAATCATTCTAATTGCTGGGATAAATAAGTGGGAGCATAGGGTCTCTGTAAATGTCCAAAAGGTTCGTGTTTAGTCTTTTCTTTGCTTGTGGATCAGTACGTCTGAAGCGTAGTGGACTGTCTCTAGGCTAGTCAAGTTGCAAGTTATATCAGTGTTGGCTTCCAAGCCTTTTTTACTGCGAGTATTCTTGTATTGTTCTGGCTCTCCAGAGGCATTGCTGTCGATGATGCTATTCGCCATCGTAAGTTTCTGTTTGTACCATCTTTCGCGGGCAGTGCCTAACTTTTTGCCCGCCTACAGCGCAGACATTGCTAGACCTCGACATGCGCCTTCAAGCGCGGGCTGGTCTAGGTCCTTCGCTGACGAACTGGTTATACGGACCAGGAAACATGCTTAGTCGATTAAGCCCGATTCTTTCAGCCATACCCATCTATTTTGTCGCGGGAGCTGTGCTGCAAATCACTTCGTCTGGTGTATTGGGTAAAGTTATTTACCACCTCTATTAACTCTTTGTGTTGATTTTTGTGACCAGGTGTTAACGTGTACAATTATACATCGACGACCACGGATGATTATGCTACTAACAACCATATGGGATCATATTCTGGGATAGACGATATCTTCGGTAACAGAGGGGACAGTTGGATGTTCGCCGCGGAAGACAACATCGGACTCTGGCAGGCTGCTCGGCAGAATATGTTTCTTCCAGATGTCAATAACACCCAGACACCTGGACTTCAAGGACGGTGTGTATATCCAGGGCCAAAAGATGGTTTTGTGTTGACACGAATACGCTAGCCTCCTCCATGACATACCAAGCGTCGTTCATAACACATTTGATTTAGGTATGGTTATCAGACCTCGAGCAACTGCGTGTTGACTGAGCGCCGATAGCACATGTGAACAGTACAAGGATAAACGTCCAGTGCAGCCAACCTCAAGATGTCCTTGTGGAAGCTTTGCTACTTCCTCAAGGCATTAATGACACCTCGGTCGCGCTTCATTCCAATGCTAGCAAATATGTCAGCAACGCAACCAACACGGGCTACGATGATCAAGTTTGGTTGAACGTGTCGATGTCCGCACCACCGTATTGGGACAGCAGTGTGCCAGGTCTTAACTTCTCAAGCCTGTGGTCCCAGTTGCCCTATTCCCGCGAGACTGACCAGACGAGTATGGAACTACCGAGTAAGTGCTTCTTCAATGCGCTTATCGAAGCAAAGAACTGAACATGTATCCGCAGCTAAGGTTATCCTTCAACCTTGGGCCTTTTCTCATAACATAAATGTCTCGATTGGCCATCATCAGGTTATCTTTGCTCTTGCAACGGGAGATCCATCAGTTTTGATTCGCGATTCCCGCGGCTCAGCTGGTGTATACAGTAATTTTACCATTATACCCGGGCGCAATGTCACCGACTGTCTACACCTGTGTGACTTGTCTCAGAACTATTGCGATAACTACTGTAAGCCCCAACCTGTCCCGGGGTACATGCAGGTTATCGGTTGTTCCATGCATACAACACAGGTGAACGTCTCCGTCACAGAAACCGGTTTGCTATCAAACGAGTTCACTCAGTGGGAGCACGTTCCGCACGAATGGGTTTCATTCAAGTGGGAACAACAGAGTGAGATTATTATGGACCGACAATTTCTTATCATCTTCAGTCCTGCACCATCATTCGACGACCCAACAGGAGAGACGGCCATCAGTAGAGGATATACAGGTGCAGAAAGATTATTGAAAAGGGCATTGGTCGGCTCCGACGGATGGCAATCAACAGGCATGAACCTGAGTCGACTAGAAAGCGACATGGAGCTACTGTCCGCGAGTTACTTTTGGAACTATTGGCAAGCCTGTGATTTTCCCAAAGCACTCGCGCCTGACTACGTGGAGTGCAATTCGTTTCGGTTCCTGTCCGCCTCGAATTTTCCCAGGTACGTTGCGGCAGACTTTACGAGGACGGAGACGAGGGCGAGGTTGGAGGTTGTGATATGGAGAGCGGCGGTTAGTTTGGGGTGTTCACTGGTGATGATGGCGTTGGCGATGGGGTTGTTAGGCATGAAGACGGATCTACGACCTGGAGAATCGCTGAAGGGTACGAGATTTGTGGAGACGGTCGCTTTAATGCGTGGGTCGGGATTACCGGGACTTGTGGGTGTGGATCGGGTACCGTTGAGGTTCGATAATATCATCCCACGTAGCCTGCACTATACTCACCATTCCTAGGTACGGCCCTTGTAAAGACGGGGCCGGGGTCAATTTGGATGTCGCCAGTGATCGAACCTGAGACCGGCATCCATATCTCGGCACATCATATATATCCGACCTTAGCTCAGCTGGAAGAGCGTCAGACTGTAATGGTTGACTTCATCTGAATGTCGTGTGTTCGATCCACACAGGTCGGAAAGTTAAAATTTTTGGAAGACACAATCGGAGGAAGCGATTGGTATCAAACGCTATTATCGATGATGGACACTGGAGGAAGGGCGTCTAGGTTTACCTTCCGACGCATGGTTGGGGATCCTATCGTTGTTTATAAATCATTCCATCTCATTCAGGGCGGGCACCCTTCATCTCAACATGCGACCACCACGAATTACCTGCACCCCGGGAATCTCAAGCATCAACAGATGTATGCTGTTGTCTGATCACCAAGAGTTGAAGGCGCCCATCATTGAGGGTTCTAATGCACCTTGGCCTGGATCATGAGACCTTCACTATCTTGACGCTTGCATTGGGATCAAAGACTACGTTTCTGGGCCTCAAGTAACTTATATAGTTTAATCTTAGCCATGATTCAGCATAACATCATCCCGGGACCTTTCAAGAACGTTGCTGACTCGACAAGCGCCGTCACCAGATGCCTACAGGACCGCGGGAGCGAGCGCGTCTAATAACTCTATATAATCACTGTTGCGGATCACCAATTCAGATCATCATCATCTATATAATCACTGTTACCACCTGGCTATCTCTTCATCTTCCCCATGGATTTCCCTGATAGATCAACCCTCATGATGCATATGGGTCAGTACCCCGATTTTTCATCGGCGGCTCCTGGTCTGCCCTTGACTGCGTTTTTACCGTCTACTGCAATGCACCCCCGGGTCACCAGTGCGAGGATGAATAGAATGCCCGGCCCACAGAGGAGATCCGGGAACAATCAAGTTGTGAAAGAGATACCAGACAAGAGCAAAACTGAGATCCCCTGCGATCGTTATCTGAAGCGCTTCCAGATTTGGGACCTTGAAGAGCAAGCATACGTCCCGTATGACTGGAGCGCGAACGCATCCCTTCCTTTTCCAAAGGAAGAAGACAAGACCAATTGTTTCTACATTGACTCGCGGTATAAAACCGAACAATGTACGTTGAACGTTCTTTCTGTTGACTGTGTTCGATTGTTGTGTAGCTGAAGCGAACGTCTGGGTGACAAATTTCAGCAAGCCGTTGCTTGCTTTCTTGCGGTATGTCTCTCCCTCTCCTATCTGGAATCGGCATATCTCAATCCTTGTATACAGAGTTACCGTTGGAGATGACTTCTTCCGCTCGGAACCACAGGTCCTTATCGCGTCCTTGTTTCCAAAGCTGTCGTTGATGAGAAAGACGCTGGCGACCACGAAGGCCTTCGTCTCATCCGACCAGGCTCATACTCGCGAGGAATATCTTCACGTCATGAAAATTGCGGGACTAAAGGAAATAGATGAGGAACACTGTATGTTCATCGTCACTTCATCCATTCTGACGCTCATCACGCGAGATAGCAACCTTGTCTGATATGATCCAACAAGTCAAGGAATTGTTAGAGCATGTCGAGGTTTTCATGTCATACCTCGAGGAACATTTCAAACCGATGTATGCGTGATACTGAATCTCACTCTATTGGCTAATGGTGTGGACTAGTGGTGATCGAGTGGCGTTGGCAACTAGTTACGGCCATGCCGAATTTGATCTGTAAGTGGGTTTTTCTCGTTAAGGGAGGAGTGAGCTAATGTGTGTACTTCACCCAGACTTCAATATTTCTCCGAACCTGGTCAGGAAATGCTTACTACTGACAAGTTTGGTCAGCCGGTGAGCACATTCTGATGAGACTGTTTGCCTAATCCTGACCGAATCATCCAAGATCGCTGTAATAATTGATAAGACTTATTATGATTATGAGCATTAGTACGTCAATGCTTTACATTGGTCTTTCATTTATTCACAAGACAATTTAGTCCTGATCCTGGTCGATTCTTCTACGTCATGTGTCACGGCTTGTTATGGAATGGCTCTTGCTATTCTTCATACTGCATTAAACGTAAAGTGAAAGAGTATAAGGTTCGCAAACTTCAGATGATTAGCAAATGCTGGGATTGATCTTCAATGTAGGGTACCAGGGAAATATCCTCTCTGCCTTGAACCAAACTTGAGCCCGATGTTCGAGAAAAACTCAAAGGTCAGGAGATCTCGCATTCATGTACTAGACTAACATAACTTCAGCCCGCGGAAAGCTATATACTGCACACTCGGGAGTGCACTACAAAGTTTGTAAGTGATGCTTTGAGGGTTCATGTTTCTCTCGCTAACATGGCACCCAGATGAAACTGTAAATATGATTATCTGCTCATATCTTTTTTGTCTCGTGATACCTTTTCCTTAGAAACGTATTATCGTCGATCGGATGGCGTACGATAATCGAATGGGCTACACACGTGATCCGTACAGTGAACAAGTTGTGTTTTGCACGTACGCTTACGCCATTGCTCTAGTGATCAACATATACCTGAACTTAAAGAGGAGCGCCTTCATCTCCTTCCTTCGGAAGTGTGAGGGACTTATATTATCTCGTAGCTTCTTAACTAACGGGCATTCCCTACCAGTTACGGGTTCAGTTTAGTGACTAAAGAGTGGACTAGTTTTCTCGTCGAGAAGTTAAAGGAGGTCATTTTTGACGAACATGCATGGGACTACCTCGTCCTGGATGAAGACATCAAGGTTGGCATATTATGTCGTGTTATCTGAGAAAGAAAGACTAATCTATGATCCTTCAGACATTGATTAAAGGCCTTGTTGAAGTGACCAAGAACAAGACCTCCTCCAGTAAAATGATTAACGACATCATCTCCGGAAAGGGTGGTGGACTAGTGAGTCACGAGTTACGAAAGAAATGGTTGATTGATGATACTGAAAAACGTAGATTTCTGTCCTCCACGGTCCTCCGGGAACAGATGGGGGAGTTAAAAGTCTTGGCGATGTTTCTGGATATACTAACAACAGCTACCAGGAAAGGCCCTCACTGCTGAGTCCGTGGCGGAGCTCCTCCGTCGTCCGCTTTACATGGTCGGCTCAACAGAACTCTCTTCTCGTCCTCCCGAGCTAGAGGTTAACCTTCGATCTACTCTTAGTGTATGTGTCTACTTTCTCACGTTGTTAAAATATTCATAGTCACAATTTTCAGCTAGCAACAGCTTGGGACGCAGTGCTGTTGATCGACGAAGCGGATGTGAGCGACAGCCATAGAACTCTGGCGCCAGTCCTTTGACTATTGATCCATAATAGGTATTCCTTGAACAGCGCAATCTGCATGAGGTACGTCGATTCGTTAGATGGCACCCTCCTTTGTAACATCTTTATCAGCTTGAAAGAAATGCTCTTGTTTCAGTGGCGCTAAGAGTTCTAGAGTATCACCGCGGGGTCCTATTTCTCACTACAAACCGGATCAAAACGTTTGACGAAGCCTTCTTGTCTCGGTTCTCAATCAGTTTGTCTTCTTCCTCTGGCGCATGCTGTGATTATGATAAACAGTCTTTATACAGCTATCAAGTATCCCGAGCTTGACGTTGCTAGTAGACGCACCATCTGGCAGAAGTTCTTCAGTCTCGCTGACTGTACCGTGTCTGAGGAGGATCTGGAGAACCTGGCGATGAAACCTTTCAATGGTGAGCAGTGATATAGTTACCTTCTATAATTATTGCAGAACGATCACACCGATCACAGGCCGCACTATCAAGAACATGGTGAGCATATTTCCGGCGCCCTCGGCCTGCGTTAAACTCACAACTCTGGAAATTTAAGGTCCGAACCGCCCAGGCTTTGGCTCTTTCAACGTAAGCTCCTCTGCCTATCAGCATTCTCGGACTACTAAATTGTCTACAGAGGCAGCCCGTTTGGCATCGAGCATATCCAAGTAGTTTCGAGAGCTCAGGAAAAGTTCCTGGATGAGTTTTCACGTTTGGGACGGTGAATTGTCTGTTGCTAGACCCCTGTAACGTCTGTTTTCGATCAATTTGATGCTGAGCATTCTTCTTTGTTCTTTGTTGGCTAGCGAAGATAGATACACGTGGAAAATCCCCGAATCCGGAAACAATGGAAGAAAAAATTACTTGTGTGGTGAAAAGGGGTGACCCTTATATAAATAGCAGTCAAGTTCAACTTCCCAGAATTGCCCACTTCTAGCTTTTCTTTCACCTACGATCACAATATGGTTTCTCTTGACCCCACTGACGCAGCTACCACTGACAACGAAACCGAGACCGTGGATGAAGCAGCAGCCGCACTCGCCGCTGAAGAGCTCAAGAAGAAGACTGAGATACGATGCGAGCATTACCTTAAACGCCACCTGCTCTACGAAGACTATACATGGGTGCCCTACGATCCGAGTACCTACGTGAAACCCAAGACGGAAAGAGAGGATCTGGACAACTATTTCTATGTAAATCTTAAATATGATCGGAAAGGTGGTACGTTGAAAGGCCGGTGTATTTAAACATCCAAAGCCGAACTTACCTTCCTGTAGCTGATCCTTCCATCGTGTTGTCTCATTGGAGCAAAACTCTCATTTCGGTCCTGAGGTAAATGCTCATATATCTACCTCAAAGCGATTTCACTCTAACGTATCCTTCAGAAAGATTTATGGAAGCGATTTTTTCAGTCGACACCCAACGTACAAAGTCGTAGATTTCTTCCCGACCCTGAAGACGCTCAGAGAGAAATTGAACTATGCAAAATCCATGGTGTCCTCAGAAGCGGATCACACGAAAGAAGACATTCTGGCCCTCTTGAGGAGTTTAGGTACAAGTAGTCTGGACAAGAGTATGCGCGCTAGTGATATCTACCGCTGGTGTACTGAGATCCCCCGTAGAACTTCACAAGTCCGACATTCTACCACTAGTGGCCGATATCATTGAACATCTTGACGTGTTGGTGGGATACGTCGAGGAACAATTTCGGCCAACGTATGTGTTCAATTACCGACATTCTCTTCTTCCCCTGATTTATTTGTCAGGGCACATCGGTTGGAGTTGGTGACGAGCTACGGACATATTGAATTCGATCTGTCAGTTCTCATTCCAACGCGAGAGCACTAGAGAACTTATATCAGTGTGATAGGTTGCAGTATTTCTTCGAACCAGGTCACCATGTCTCC